TCGACTTTATTTAGAAGAAGGCATAATGACGTAGTGGTAGAGCTGTGTGTTCCCTCATAGGAGTACCAAGGTTCGAAACCGAATTGATGCAAAAAGAAATGCCCTTTGATAGGGCAATCATCGTCACAATAGATCCATTGTGAGCACCTGGGTTGAGAGAAACATTAATATAAACATGCCTTATCGTGGTAATAGATTATATTGATCTGAATGTTTTCGTTTATCATGAAGGTCTTCAATTTACTCTGTCTTTCTTTTTTTTTTAATCTAACTTTTATTTACCATGTTCGAAGTTTATATCCATGTACTTTCTGATACACAGTATTCATTTTATAATGTCGTCATGCAACATTGTTTTGCTGATTTCAATAAATGAGTTTTCATAGTAAACATGATGTGCAACTTTGACGATAAGTTATTCAATTGTAGATTGTGTGGATCTTCTGTTGTATCTCCTGGGCCCCGCCCTATAAACAGTTGCGATTGATATCAATCGCAACTAAGTATAGAGGACTGCAAACTTTCGATTGATTCGGATTAACTCGGACCAATCGCAACTCTTTATAAGACGGTTCCCGGTCCAGTTTCTGTTGTATTGTGTTGAAAATGGCAGGCATATTCCTAAGATCTGCCTATCTGAAGGAGGAATGTGATGATGATGACGTTGATGAAAATGATGAAAATGACAACGGTGACGAAGATGCAGACGATATTTATATGATGAAGATAGTGGCAGTAGTGGGGATAATGTTAAAAATGATGATGACGATTGTGCATGTTGAATCGTAATCAATGATGAAGGTGGTGATAAAGATGATGGTGAATGTGATGACGATGATGAGGATGATGATGAGGATGATAACGAAGAAGAATACGATGATTATGTTGATGACAGTGGTGATAGTGACGAAGGTAATGATGATTATGATGATGGTGATGGTAGTGGTGACAATCACTACATGATGATGATGATGATGATGATGATGATGATGGTGATAACGAAGATGAAGATGATAATTATATTGATGACAGTGAGGATCGTGATGGTGACGAAGATAATGATGCTATGATGATGGTGATGGTAGTGATGACAATCACTACATGATGATGAGGATGTTGATGATGACGATGATGTTGTTGATGATGATGATGATGATGATGATGGTGATAACGAAGAAGAAGATGATAATTATATTGATGACAGTGAGGATCGTGATGGTGACGAAGATAATGATGCTATGATGATGTTGATGGTGGTGATTACAATCACTACATGATGATGAGGATGTTGTTGATGATGATGATGATGATGATGATGATGATGATGATGATGGCGATGATGAAGAAGACGATAATTACATCGATGACAGTAATGATTGTGATAGAGACGAAGATAATGATGCTATGATGATGTTGATGGTGGTGATTACAATTGCTACCTGATGATGATAATGGTGATCATGATGCAGATGATGATAATAATGGTGGTGATAATGATTGGTATTATTATCATGATTGATGTTTATCACTATGATGATCATGATGAGGATGGTGATGTTGCCAGGCATAGCTCATAACGAATATTCACGATAACATTCAGGACAGAGAAGGGTTGTGTTTCGGAACTTTTTCCTTTATAAACCTTTAGAAACGAACCTGTTACACAGAAACATGTGTAGCAGATTTTCATGAGTACAGTAGTAATGATAATACTACTACTTATAATTGGGTGTTATTTACACAGAGTAGCCACATCACTATCAATTTATTTATTTATTTTTCAAGTATTCAAGTATTCAATTTTATTTCACATCTCTTTAAAAACACATCAAAAGATATACAAACAAATCATTATGAATTAAAACAATATAAATATAAAAACATTCATTGACATGGTACTGTTAAAGAGTATGAAGGGTGGTGGATGCGAGGGATCAACAAAGGCCATTGACCTGTCAAGGTTGATCCCCTATATTACCACCCTTCAAGAGAAATACATTATACAAAATATAAAAAATAATAAATAAAACAATCAAACAAACAGATAATATAACATAGCATAATCACATAAAACACAACATCAATATTTACATAAATCACATAAAAGGCAATTAGATCAAATAATACTACTCACAACTAAGAAGATAACATTTATATTTTTTCCTGAATGCAAGAACAGTGGATATTTCTTTTAGTACGTTTGGCATTCTGATTTTGATATTCAGACAGGGTGACTCATTATCACCAATAATGGTGGTATTCCATGAGGCCATGTTAAACCTAATAATGAACAGTAGTTTTAAAAAATATATATATAATAATAATAATAACAATAACAAAATTCATGAATATAAATTCATAGTAGCAATAAAGAATAAGTAAGAACATGAATAAACATATATACAAAGTATTTGGTGTCCTCGTAATAAATGAATGGCTAGTTTGCGGCTCTTCATGCGGCCCCTGCAATTATAACAACCCCAGATCTTGCACCAGCCATTTACACCTGGGTGGAGAGTGGCAAGTGTGGATTGTTGACGTCTTGCCAAAGGACAATAATATCGGGCATGGATTCGAACCCTCAACCCTTGAATTGAGATTTAAGCGGGACTGCACTACGCGCCCTCTATACAGCCAACAGTGCCTATAAAGCGGTACCCGTTTATCCCGCATGGTCCCCTTTTTCTTATGTTATTTGAGAGCTGATTTGATGAGATAACCACCTGCTAGTGACCACGCCGGGAGGTCTAATCCCTCCTGGCCAAACTAGTGCAGATAGGCTTTAAGAGAATGAAACACTATACCATCGTCCGCGCCGTAACCATGCTAACACAATAGGGACTTTTAGATTCGCATGAAGACAGTGGGGATTTCTACGATCGACGTTCTTTTAATGCACTGCCTTGAATGGACGTCATACATATCAGTCCACGCAAATCTAAAAGTCCCTAATACGCCAACAAGAACGCCTCGTCTAATTACTATACACCAGCAATCGATGTCCTGAATATTAAAAGGAAACCGTTTTTACATCGTTTTCAATGTCGGATCGCCCGCGCCTTCATCAATCAATACAACCCATTCACAAAGGAATAATTGAACCGTGTCATACAAGGTCGAGTTTGTGTATCCTAGTACAATTTCATATTTGCATATGCCATCATTGTATAGCTCGCATTCATGGTAACATTGTTTTGCCACGCAAGCACGCATACAGCCAGCCATTTCCACCCGCACCCACACGCACACACTCACATATTCGTGTTCACAACGTCTTCTATCTCGCTTGTATGAAATTTGTTTTTAGGTAATGATAAAGCAACAAAGAAAAAATGTCGAATTTTAGGTAATGAAAAACTCAAATTTATCCTCTTCTCCTCAATTTGTCCCGGGAAAGTTGTAAAAAGGCCAGCCTTGTTTCCCACCTGATATACACAACCCGGACCCCATCCTCCCCACCCCCCCCCCCCCCATCCTGACGAATAAAAATGCTTTTATGAGTATGATATGATTTAATAAAAAAATTACTAAAATTGAGCGAAAGACAACATTTTACTCATACTACATCACCCAATCAAGTTTCATAATATCCAAGATCATTTCTTCGTCTAAAGATTTTATCGAAGTATGGCTCAATCTTTTTTTTTGGTATGAAACGGTTCACCCAAGGAAATTTGATATACTTATCATCAGGAGCAGACAGATTCTCAGAAATTGCACGCACAAAAACAAAACCATTCAGTCCACAGGTTATGAGAGAAGTTATAGGCCTTCTAAAATGCTGTAAAATAAGAAATACATGCCATGTGGTTCCAGGGTTACGGGAAATTGAAATGTACTTTGCATTTTTGTTATTTTGTTTTTAATCGTGTTAACCCCTAGATGGAAGAGGAATTGTAAGCAGGGGAGAGGGAGGGAAGGGGATAAATAATCGAAACATTGTAAGCAGGGGAAAGAGAAAGAAAGAGAGAGAAAGAGACAGACAGACTGGTGATACTATACAAGCTCCACAACAACCTGGTAGCACTCGACACAGCATCCTACATCAACCCTGTCACAAGACCCTCCAGGACTGCCCATGCACATAGCTACCAAGTCCCCCGTTCAAGAACCGAGCAACATAAGCAGTCCTTCTTCCCCAGGACTGTGAGGAGTTGGAATAACCTGCCATCAGAAACAGTATGTGCCTCATCCGTGAATACCTTCCGTCAAAGCCTGACGGGAGGCAGCAATTAAGTCCAGGAACCTTTTACTTGCACCATGTAAATAGCATTGCACCATGCACCTTGCTCTCGTAAGCACACACACACACTCATCAGTCTGCAAGAATCTTCAACTGTGAAGGAGGTAGACTTAACCCAAAGAAGAAGAAGAAGAGAGAGAGAGAGAGAAAGAGAAAGAGAGAGAAAGAGAGAGAGGGGGAGGGTGGGAGGGAAAGAGGGAGATAGTGATATAGAAAGATATATTTTAAAATGTATACAGAGGAGATAAATAGGGAGCGATACAAACAGAAGTTAGAGAGAAATGGAAGGAAAGAAAGGAAGAAAGAAAGGGGAAGGGAGAGATAAGGGGTGAGAGAGAGTGAGAGATACAGAGAGAGAAAGAGAGGAAGAGAGAGAGAGAGGGGGGGATATGAATAAATCGTAATGAAGTACACTATACTTCAAGCCCGTGTCATTATTTTAAGCCATTGGTCTATTCTACCATCCCATTAATACTCCACTACAAATTCTATGAAAGGAATGGTTTATTGGGTGTGGCGACTTATTTATTCCGACCGTTACGTCATGAAAGTCAGAAAGGATTACATACACAGTTGACTACCCCCGAAAGTCATACTTTTTTTTCCTTATCGTTACCCCATGCCTATGCACAAGGCTTTATACGAGTGCATTCGTTCGTTTGCTTTCTTTATTCAAATTCATTGTCCCATTGTGGAATCTCGTCTCTATTGTACGAAGGGGGTGAGTCAAATGTATTGTTGTGAGAAGCCGTATATCGGTATACGGGGGAGAGTGCGATCTACGTAAGACAGCGGTGAATTTATGGCGGAAAGAGAGGCGAAATCTCGCAATGCACGAGAGAACAGGTGGTGGTCTACTGTACATGGTATGTGTACACACACACACACACGCACGGGAGCGCCCAACGTACGGGCCGATTGCACTCGCTTACGTAGAACCGTGCTACCGACACTAGTTGACTACGTTAAGTGCGGTGTTTCTTCAGAAGTAAAAGCGGAAAAGTGCTGATTTTTCTGTTGTATGATCAAGAAAACCTTTCTTTGGAATAAGAATGTAGAGGATCAAATGTTTTGGATTGTGGAGTTTGAAATTTAGATGCTGACATTCCGATACTACTCTTCAGCGGCATAAAACATCAGATGTGGACATAATTTCCTTTTCACTTTTTGTGCGGTGATTTGCGATTGTTTACTGCAATGATAATAATGGCGTCCACCGGTAATCATTGTTGGACTTCTTTGCTTCTCTTTTTGTCTATCATCATTTATTCTTCAGCCCAGTATTTCTCGGTAGAACCACAAGATAGAGAAGTGGTGGCCGGAAGCAAAGTTACGATGACATGTCGGGTGTTTAACCGTCCGGAAGGTTCGTTGCTCTACTGGATAGCGCTTGGTGCGACCAACACCTCCATAGGGCCTGACTACGAAGTACCGTTCAGCTATAGAGCAAAGTACGATATCATTGGTGATCAGCGAATCAACGATTACAATCTCGTGATCAACGACTTAACGGCTGCCGACGCCGGGGGCTATGTATGCCTCCTGTTTCCACCTGGACGAGGTGATAATGTCGCGCCGACATCTGCGATCGCGCAGACGAGAGAAGCTTCGTTGACGGTGGCGACGTTGAGTGCGACCGGTGCTCCGGCTTGCTGGGCTTCCCCACGGCGCAACGTCCATGTCGGGGAGGACGTCACGTTCAATTGCGCCTCGACCTTTGAAAACAACACCCTAGCATGGAAGCAAGGGTCCAACTCACTGCCGTCGTCGCCGAACACGACGACAGCGATACCGTCATTTATCATGACGACATTCACGGCCGAATCCTCGATGAACGAGGCACGGTACACTTGCGCGTCGGAGACGGACTCGAACAGGCAGTGTCAGATCGCTCTCGGGGTCACCTTCCCTCCGGAGGTCACCATCGAACCCGTAGGCGAGGTCAAGGCGGGTCGAGAGGGACGATTCCGGTGCACGGCGACGGGAAACCCAAATGTTTTCGTCTACTTCTGGAAGTACAATGAGGAGCCCATCGAGTATCAATATCATCGTCGATTCAACATGGCCATTCTGGAGGAAAGCAATACCATCTTGGTCCTCCCTGATATGGATGAGGTAAACAAAAATATATCCCTTAATCATGTAGACCCTGTGTTAAAATGTCCCTATTAACATAATTGTGTTTTAGATCAAGTCCAAGGTCATTCTGTGTATATTATGTTGCTAAATGTCCTATATACTTATTCATGGAGTTAAAGCATAATTATGAATCATTGAAATTTCTTTTCTTTCATGTTTTGTCTGATCTCAGCTAAAAGACAATGTAAGGGATATCAACTAAATTATTAAAATCATTACGTACATTATGTAGTTTCAAATCTTTGATGTGGTTGCTGTGAGGTATGTCAATAAATTCCTTGGACGGTTAACATTAAAGGGACTTTGTAACATTGTTCAGATGAGAGATAGTGGTGCTAAGGTAGTGACTTCAATGCTAGATGTACAATTAAAGATAATCTGAAAATTTGAGTGAAAATTGGGAAAAACTGATCTGATCGATTCCTTAATTCTCCCAACTATATTATTTTACTTCTATTCTGCTACTTGTCAAAGCCTGTTTAGCATCAAGACAAGGACAATTTAATTACATTTTAGGTGAATGTAAATCGTCACAAAGCAATAAAATGGCTCTACATTCCATTCCAGACAGTTAAGTGTTGACAGATTTTTATAGCCTGTTTTCTGTATTTTTCTCATGGAAAAACGGTTGGGAAAATTCAAAAATGGTTGGGAGAATTTACTGTTAATCACTGTTAGAGGGTGCCTCACATCGACGCCTTCAAAGAAAATCATAGATATCTTTGTGGTTTGAGAATTTGTTCAGGATTTTTTGCATGTCAGAGGGTTAGTATAGTAGAAGGAATATAGTCAGTAACATTTTATACAAAAATTAAGCAATTTTTTCATCAACCTTCAACAATGTTACCGAGTCACTTTAAACAAAAATGAAATTGGGGGGGGGGGAGGGGGCAACGTTAAAATAGCCCACCACAAAAACTGAGCAGGCGTTCGAAGGTCAACCAACTCTTCACCAATGAAGCAAAATCTAAAGACTTAAGATTCTTAGGTAACACTTACATCTCCTTTTCACAATCTCTTTCTCAGTTTCGTTCTTGACCCCCACGTTAAACTTTCCACTATTTGATGTTACTGTAAGCTCACCCATTCTCAACTGCAGTTCTCTAAACTGGAGGAAGCCGAGCAAAGAAGAAAATAAGAAGACTAACCTAATCCTAACCCCTAACTCTATCGATCCTTAACTCTAACCCTAGATCTATAGATAAGCCCTATTTGTGGGCTATTCTGAAGATAAGCCGAAATGAGTATCAGAAACCATTGACGAAGCTTTCTTTGAAAGGATTATACACTCATGAGAACAATGATTTAATATAAAAGTCATATCACCACGAAGATGATTTTGACAGAAATAATTATGGCCTGATGGTTATGAAGATTAATCATATCTAATCCTTCCTTCACTTGTCGGAGAGATCCATTTGAAAGAAACTCTTCCAATTTGAATGGAGAAAAGAGGGACACTTGCGAATGATAATCTATTTGAAATGAAGAGATGCACCTAAATTTGAATCTCAGTTGTATTCCAAGTCATACGGACATTGGTGTTAGTTTGAATCTGTGAATTCATCGAATTTTCGTCAACTTGACGATGTTTTGGAATAACAAAAGTAAAGAGTAGATATTCTTTAAAAAAAAAAGTGAAATCCGGCTGTGACGTGAGTGTTGAATTTCACAAATATACAAAGCTTTAAAGGGACTTTGTAACATTGTTCAGATGAGAGATAGTGGTGCCAAGGTAGGGACTTCAATGCTAGATGTACAATTAAAGATAATCTGAAAATTTGACTGAAAACGGATCATTATTCATGGTACAAATTGGGAAAAACTGATCTGATCGATTCCTTAATTCTCCCAACTACATTATTCTACTTCTATTCTGCTACTTTTCGAAGCCTGTTCAGCATCAAGACAAGGACAATTTAATTACATTTTAGGTGAATGTAAATCGTCACAAAGCAATAAAATGGCTCTACATTCCATTCCAGACAGTTAAGTGTTGACAGATTTTTATAGCCTGTTTTATGTATTTTTCTCATTGAAAAACGGTTGGGAAAATTCAAAAATGGTTGGGAAAATTTACTGTTAATCACTGCTAGAGGGTGCCTCACATCGACGCCTTCAAAGAAAACCATAGATATCTTTGTGGTTTGAGAATTTGTTCAGGATTTTTTTCATGTCAGAGGGTTAGTATAGTAGAAGGAATATAGTAAGTAACATTTTATACAAAAATTAAGCAATTTTTTTCATCAACCTTCAACAATGTTACCGAGTCACTTTAAATTATGACGGTTTGAATAGTATCCCATTTCATATCTTTGGACATGTTGGACTTGTGAGAAAATTATTTTTCATGTCGAGTACAGCATGTTTACGTAACCTTCCGGTTGTACGTATTGGTATAGGGCAGAATGAAATCCTCAGCACAATGCCCGTGTTACCATGGTTACGTAGGGATACCTTGGTAAAATGATAATTATCCATTTTAATCAGCATAGTGATATGCTAATGATGTGGCGAAAGGGGGGGGGGGTTGCACTTTAAACAAAAACGAAATTACCAATATTCCTGATATATTCGGGCGGCGATTTGGTCACACATTTTTCAGATAAATTTCAAGGTACAGGGAAACCTGCTTTAGCGACCACCTGTCTAACAAGACCACGTTTTATATTAATTTATCCTGAATATCGTTTCTCTTTGAAACATGTACTAAAGAAACCTGTACATAAAGATCACCAAACAATAAAGACTTCTTCTCTTGTCTCCCTCGAGTGGCCTTAATACACATATTTCACTGTATTTTGGTCACTTTGAGTCCCTTTCGTAACTACAGTAAGTGTCATGGAGTTAAAATCGTACACGTAATAACGTCCAAACTTCCATTTTTGTTTTTAATCCCATCTACTTAGTACAATCATCACGTACATGTACATGTGTGTTTAAATATTTGACGTGGTCGCTAGCGTATGGAACAACATTCCTTTGTAATTTTCATATTATCTAGTAGAGGCCTTGTAACGCCTATATAGATCTATTTCCACCACTAAAGTCAGGCAAACATGCTCCGTAAACTAAAGTGACTGTTACACCAGCTTTCTATGTGAAACTCATCATTCGAAAGAAAAGAAATATAAGAAAAAATGAAATAAAAGAAAGAATAGAAAAGAAAACGGAAAAAGACAGGAAGAAGCCAAGGAAGAGAGAAAGAAATAAGAAAGAAATAAAGGTGAAAAAGAAAGAAACAGAAATAAATAAACAGAAACCACACAAAAGACATCATTCAGTGTACAAACAATACATTCAAATAGGATTAAACGATTTATCCAACAATCTCATGTATGACGTGAAACCTAAAAATATTTTTTAAATATCTCTAGGGATAAAAGGGAATTCTTCAATTGAACCATTACATATTGTTGTCTGATTAGGAATGTCAAGGCTCAATACCCAACCCATGCATATTGTATTCACAAATTCTCTCAAAATGCATGATATTGTTCGTTATTCCATGTTACACGATAGAATTGTTTATATCACTGTGAAGATTAATTTCCGACGCTTATAATGGTTTGGTGAAATTTAGTTTCTGTACATGTAGCTTTTTCCGCTTTTTACCACATAAAAAAATACAGCATATATATTCAATGTTTATGATACATATATATATATATATATATATATATATACCTAGCCTGTTATATATATACATATTTCGAAATTTCGTACTTATTTTCCGTACATTCTATTTGATTTAAAATATTTTAAAAAAAAATAAAAAATCTTGTGTGAAATCTACTCTAGACTTATAATAATATACGCCTGTATAAAAAAATAAAACAAATATATTAAACTGTTATTCTATGTAAAATGTGGAATAAATAAAACTTCAAACTTCAAACTTCATATATATATTTATATATATATATATTTGAGACAACCCAATGGGCGATAACTTATTAAATAGTTTCTCATTATACGGAGATTCTTTTTTAAAAATATGTTTATACATTATATCATTCGTCCGGATGATGATATAGATTTTCCCTATATTCTTTATCACGATTACTCTAATTAAAAGGTGCTAGAAATCGAGGTTGACAGTATAATTGTCAAATTTTATGTAGGGTGATATAACTAGGATATGACGTAATCCCTTTCTGTGTTTCTCTTTTTCCATCTCTTCGTCTCTGTAAACATCACCAACTTGGGACAAGGACGTCTGTTTCTTTTCTGTATTGTGTGTCTATGCTCTTTCTCTCTCTCTCTCTCTCTCTCTCTCTCTTTCTCCCCCTATGTGCTCTTTTTCTCTCTATTCCCTATGTGCTCTCTTTCTCTCTATTTCTCTCTCTCTCTCTCTCTCTCTCTCCCTCCCCCTCTCTCTATCTCTCTGTGCATATGTACTTCTCCGTCTATTTTGCCCAACTCAACTATATCTCTATCATGATCACTCTATTTCTCCCGCACATTCTCAATATATTTCTCTCTTCTTGCCTCTATGTTTTGCTTCGCTCTCTGTCTGTGTCCTTCTCTCCGACTCTTCGTAATTGTTGTCTGCAGCAGGTTTTCTCAGTAAATGTTTATTGGATACGTCATTGCACGACAAAAGCGAGGCATTGTGAAAATGAGGGTGCCGCGAGTTAAATAAATAACCTGTTTTATTCTGAACTATTTCGACATGTACATTATGGCCTTGGGCACCGCTGAGAATCAAAATAGGAAATTCAGCAACTGCAAACATGAATTTAAAATGCTTTCAGTATTGTACATGGTAAATCAATCGTCCATTTATGAAGCAAATGAAACTGATCCAATAAATCTTTGGAATGAAACAACGTCGGAAAGTATATTGCCAATAGCACGATTGGACCCCATGGAAGAACAGTCAGATTGTCTCCATGGCTTGACTGAACTGGGTATCCTTCCGACTTCATTATTGTCTTCTTATTTTTACTTTTTGTTACTGTGTATATTATGTCTATTTATATTATGTTGTAAATGTTCTGTGTATATAAATCAAATCGCAAAGACACAAAAGGAAGGCATTGTGGAAACGAGGTTGCCACGAGGTGAACAAAAGAATAAATTGCTTTATTCTGAAATATTTGGCCTTGTATATGTATATGGCCTTGTACCCCAGTCAGAATGAAAATAGGAAGCCAACAAATGTGAAAATATAAATAATAATAATGATAATTGTGGGTTTTTGTATAGCGCTCATATCTGTCAAACTTGACACTCCTGGCACTCCGATCGAATTGAGATGATTTTCATTGTTCTTAGATTGTAAATCATAGCCTATTTTATGAAGCAAAAAGGTGAAGCAAAAAGGTGTGATTGAATATAACTTCATAATAGATCATGATTGGATGTAAATTACCCCTTAAAATCTTTTAACATTAAACTTTGAAATAATTCTTGCAATGCTTGGTCAAAATTGATATTTCAATTAAATACAACTCCCTGTTTATAATCACTTAGTATTATCAACTTGTATTATACAACTGATATGCTGAATTTGAAACTATCCATATCTCTTTAAAAATGCTCAGTCCGTGGTCAGAAATGCTTTTTTTTATGCAATTCGAAATTATTTCATAAAAAACAAGTATTACAACTACTATAATCATTTCATAACGATTAGGGTGACTATGGCACCCTGCACGATGTGAAAACATGTCTCATCCGCATAATTCACATTGCGATTTTTGCAATTTTGTTGATCTTCTTTATAAGAATTATTTTAAAGAATCAAGACTTACAGCAATCTTTCTTCCACTTACCATTGATTTCATCATGATTAGACCGACGATGCCGCCCTGTTGGAATGCACGGCGATCAACGAACATGGCCAGGGTGTCAATACCTTCCCCATCCGCGTGGCCACCAACAACGTCACCTCCGTGGTCGCGTGGAGTCTCTGCGCCGTCATCGTCGCCATCATCATCCTGCTCCTCCTCGGATTCTGCTTCTGGAGGTCGAGGCAGCATAAGAAGCTGGAGAAGATATCCGAGGCTCGTCGAGGCACCCGAACACACTCAGGCCCCATCGAGAGTGAGATGAACGGCAACGTCAACCCCGCCTTCGTGGGCTTTTCACCGCTCGATGTCGACTCCGTTGGTTACGGTCCCGATAGTCAACCATATCAGGTACATAATGTATATCAGAACACATGTGTAGTTTCTTTGTTGATAGTCCCTTATTTGTCAAAATTAGAAATCAATTATCCACTTTCTAAAATAATGGTAGGAAATTAGCTTACACATTTTCTTCGAAATAAAATTACATTTTGCATGTTGCTTGTGTTTTTCTTTGGAATGATTCAGAAATGAAATCGACTTAAACTGATTTAAATATATGACTTTGTAATTCATGGAAGAATTTCATATAGCTTTATAGAATACACTTCGTATGCTTATTAATATCCTTTGGCAAGATATTAACCTGCACTTGCTACATACTCTCCACCCATGTGTTAAATGGGTACCCGTTAGGATGCCACCGTCATTGTTGGTCAAACAGTCAAACGTCAAGTAACGCCTGGCTGGATCGAATGCTCCCCAGGGAGTGGAGATTGTGCACACAGTGTGCGCGGGCAACTACTGAATAAAATGACCGGGATAATAATATATCTGTAAAGCGCTTAGAGACATCATAGATGTATTACGCGCTATATAAAAGCGGAATATTATCATTATAAGTAGTAAAACGTGAAACTTTTGATGAAAACATACACACGTCACTATAAACATGATAAAACATAGTTGGCTGCCAAAATAAAATGTCTTCCAAATGAAGCAAACCAAATTTTCCTTTTTCTTTTTCCATCTCCTAGTCGAGACCCAGCGACAGGGATTACGACACGGGCCACCCCATGCCGATCCCGAGACAGACTAGTAAAATAAGCGGTGAATCCGACAGCGAAGGAATCGTCAGGGACGCCGACGAGGATGAAGTGGTAAGAATCGTCGCTCGTCTCACGACCTCGACACGATTATGACCACGAGCACGAGTTTTAAAAGGCCCGTTCAGATATAACACGATAAACCGCCGCAAAAAAGCCGTCGCATTTTTGATAATTTTATAAGATTCTTTTTTTTTACGTGTACATCTAAATGAATGCCAAATGCGCGCAACACATTACAGTCCTGTTATGTTTTCGATAAGCCCTTTGGTATAAGATTTTTTTAATGTGAAGCGTTATTCATGTTATGTTGTTATTTAAATAAACGCCGCGGTTTTGCAGTGCCATATATGAACGGGACTTTACTTATAATTCGTCCGATGTCGGCAAGGACGCCGTAAGAGCTACGACCTTCTTACGGGCAACCGACTTTATAATATCTTTATCTGTGGGCGATTCCGTGCGATGCGTCCTGTACGAGATATTTTTATCCATTCATTTCTTCAAAGAATATACAATTGATATGGCCATTACTAAAAGGTATAGTAGTACCGACATAATCATTAGTCAGTGGTGCTATCAACAGGTTCTTCGTTTTTGGATCAAATTAAGAGGATAAAAGACCTAATTCGTTCGGGACACATTGCTCGAAATCGCCATTATGGTCGACGTTTTATAAAGAATATGATATGAGGCATCTCAGGTACGCAGTGGATGTTAAAGATACATGCTGTTAAAATGCTCTAAATTATAGTGTTCAATCACTAGAATTAAAATCACTTAAATCTCTAAATGAAAGAGTTAAGTCACTAAAATCAAAACAACTTGAATCTCTAAATGATAGTGTTAAACAACTTAAATGGATGGTAAATTTTGATGCTGTTAAAATACTCTGGAAACTAAAATATCCAATCACCATTTAAAAGGGCCGATGGTTGGCCACATTTAAAAAATGGCAGATAGACACTTTTAACACTATAGATTAAACCTTTATAAGTTGCCACGCCTTTGCCCATTCAAATTGATTACATTATCATCCTTATTAGTATACCTCTTGAGTCTTGACAGTATTATGGTGCCTAAAGCTTTCTCTGACGTGTTATAAACGTGTACACAATAAATGACATAAAAATCGAAGTGATTATACAAAAAAAAAAAATTCTCATTCTGTGTACACAACCCGTAACAGACAGACACAAATAATATTATTTTCATACCACTATTTTACTGTTACGGGTCAGGGACAGCATTGAATGTATGTGCGAGTTAATGCGTTATTGTGGAACGATTACATGCCATGGTTAAATGGTTTCATCCTAATTAAACAAAAGAGATTCTATTTAAACAAACTACAATGGCTGTGGTCTGACCTTCACAACATTGCTTTCTCACTTTATGCGTCAAAACAAATATCGTTATGTATATACACACATGTGTAATTGGTAACGGAGTATTTTCTGCAAACAATTTGCAGCTGCCGTCACAGATTTATAAATAGATTCGTAAATGGCGATTAATGAAATGATAAAGAAGAACTCTTTTCTGAGAAAAGCCGAACACGAAAGGAAGAAGGCATAGTCGCTTTATAAAAGGGTCCTTTTAATATTATAGATAATTGTAAGTAATAAAGAAAATAATGATAATAATCATTATGACGATGATAATGATAACGATAATAGAAATGATAATAATGATGATAATAATAATAATAACAATGATAATAATAATGACAATATGATTAAAAGTATGAATGATATTAAGAATAATAATGATAGTAATTTTTATCCCACCAATTTGCGAAAATTGGAAGTATTAGTGTATACCAAATTTGGGGCATTATCTTTGTGTTTGCGTGCTTGCTTTACATTTATTTCATGCTTGCAAACCGATATCAGTGCGGTATACATTGTACTCCGTTGATTTCAATCACTCTTTCCTTGTGCAAAATTCTTCAGTATTCCTTTCATTTTCCATTCGTCTTAAAAAATATAATAGGATAATAATTTATTGCACGAGCTAAGACTGTGACGCACATTTTGTGACAAGTTGAACGTGTCGTAGATTATGCTTCTCATGATTGTGCATAGTTTGTTATTTATTGCTTGCATGATTATATGTATTTTTGGTTTACCCCTCTCCCTCTCTATCTCTCCCCCTTCCCCCTCTCTCCTCTGTCTGTCCGTCCTTTGTATCTCGTCAAATGTCACTGGTGTCTTTGGATGGCACTCTGTTAACTTGTAATGCCTTCACTTGCACCAATCCTTCTTCCGTCATTCCCATTCTTCTAACTTTTCTTCTCCTGTTTCCTTTCTTTTCCTTTCTTTTCCCTCCCTCCCATCTCTCTTTCCATCCTTCTATTACATCCTTCTCATTCTTCCTTACGCCCCCTCCTGCCAATCTATCCTCTCCGTATTGTCTATGCTTTCTCCTTTTCTCTCTCCCCTCCTTCCTTCTTTCCTCTTTTACTTATCCTTTCTCTCTATCGTCGCTTCCTATCTTCTTCAACTATTCTCTCACATTCTTTCTCTTCCGTTTTCCTCTTTTCTTTTATTTTCTTCATTCATCAATCTTTCCCTATCCTTCTTTCTTTCCCTACCCTCCTTTCTTTTCCTGTCCTTCTTTCCTTCCTTACCATCACCCTCCTTATTCTCTCTCCCTATCCTCTGTTCTTGCTCACCCCTCCCTCTCTCCATCCTTTCCCCTTCCCTTTTTCCTTTCTTCTCTTCCTTCCTTCCTACTCCATCTTTCCTTCCCTCAACCTTCCCTTGCCTGCATGCAGACCCAAACCTACACCTACCAAGTCAATCCCAAGTTCGAGGAGTACCGACACAAGGCGAGCTACGACGTCAGCTACGACGACGAAATCGACCACGATGTCGAAGAAAAGAAACCTCTTCCGCAGAACGACCTCGATCTGGAGAATGAGTTGGTGGGCGAGCTCAGCATGTTTTCCGACTATGATCGGAACTTCGACGAGGATGCCGAACCGGTGGTTGTGAGCACGGAACTATGATGAAATGAATATTCATACATATCACGTGCCTTGCTTTAAAATACAATAAATACATATCTTATAGTCTTTCGAAATGTTAAAATTTGATATATATATTATGCTTTGATAGTGTTGATAGGGTTGATAGGGAGATGCAAGTTGGTCTAGAGGTTTGCGGTTAGCTCTATGTCTTCGCCTACAAACCAACCCAGGACGAACCTCGGTTCACAATTGATCCGACTCGCGTCTTTCGGACGACGGCAGAGGTCGGTCCTCAGACGTAAATAATCATCATTAATTTTGGTTAATACACGTCTGTGAAATCGCACAAATCATTCAAATCATGATATCTAACTTCCAGAACTACCTAAACCTAAGCGGACCAAACTTGATACTTTCTCAAATCTAGACAGAAGTTGTCCAAATATCTTTTAAAAATCTAGTATAAATAATAAAGCAAACATACTTAGATCGTAGACTGTATGCCAGTTACAGTCTATAATTCTTTGAAAAATAAAGAATGAACCATCAGTAACAATTTGTCGGAGGTGCATGGTTTCGACAATAAATTACCATGATTATGTTCTTCATTGTTTCATTCTTAGTTTATTTTTTTATTTTATTTCATCTTAGTTGCTGCCGGTCTTAATTATTACGTGTAAAATATTTTATTACTGAGTGACTAGATTATGATAGGAGAAGTGAAAGAAAAAATGAGAGAGAATAACGTCTTCCATAAATTACGGTTCAAAAAGTCTATATTCATTGTTTACTAAGATTATGTTCATTGTTTAATGCAGCTCTCGACTAGTTAGCAAGTCGACATTACTCACTTGCTTTCCAGTGAAACGCGTGTGTTGACATTGCATGCCAACTTTCTTCATGAAATTTCCTGCTTTTCTGTCTATATTGCCAAGAATGTTGCAAAATTGCATAGTGTTTTTGTTGCATGGTATATGTAAGTTCTTAATGTACAAAAGATCGAATGTTTAGGAATGGATATATGTTGCACTGCATGTTTAAGAGCCGAAATTACGTTAAAATTCACGAAGCTGGGTGTTAGGGTGGACTAATTCGGCGCCGGGTGGGGGATGTCAATCTTTTAAGCAAATATTAATATATAGCTCTACTTTATACGGACATAATATACCTCTTTCTTGGTGAATTATAGCCAATATTTTCAGTTTTCCTTCAAACATCCTTTTTAAATCACCAAGTAATTGGAATTCCTAATAGAATAATGAAAGGCTTGAGGAATGGTTTTTGTTTCTTCTTGAGATTGCGCATTTGCTTCTTATGAAAACATTGTCCTTGGGCAAGGCATTTTTATCTACGTTGCTTCTCTCCACCCACGTGTTAAATGGGTACCTTGTTTGCAGGATCCGAACGTCAGTTTGATTGGATTAGCATGTGCGCGCCCGTAATAGGGCGACTGGCTGGAATGCTCCCCGGGAAGAGGAGAATGTGTACTGTTAAGTGAAGAGTCATGATAGCGCTTTGGTCGGTTATGTTGCAAATTTGTCAGTGTGTTTAACATAAGACTGGGTTTGATATGGCTCGCATAAGATGGAGGTCCTATAGTATTTGCCAGTGACAATCATTTCTTGAATATTCGTTATTTGTTTTGCATATATACAATTATGAGTTTGATTAAGTCTTTACATTTAACAAGGTTCATATCTTTTCGAATTTTATTTAGTCTAAAACGTTTCATTCGCCACAATAAGTTTATTTAGTGCGATATCGATCGCGAATCTTTAAATATGAATTGTCCGGCGAAATAGAGAAATTCTTGAGAATTAACTAATTAAATATTCTTTGTAACCATTCAATTAATCGCAATCATTCAAATATTTGGCAAGTGGGCTGGGCTTACGAACTCTTTATTTAAGCTCGTATTGATTCGGAAAGAAGCAAGATTCTAAAATATGGAAACAAATTGTTTGCAGATGTATCCTATAATAGATTAATTGTCTTGTTTATGATTTCACTTTCATTGACTAATGTAGATTCGATTTACAGCAAATGCGTTGAATATTTGATGTTTTTATTTGTGGATATTGTGCCCAGTGTTGGCGAAATGATGTGTAGGGGTATTGCATCCGTACACGTTCTCTAATTGTATAGACAAAATTTTTGTACTTGTTATTCAATCTGAAAAGTTATCTTTTAGATTTGTTCCTCGGATGGTACATTGCTGTAATAGCAGCAATGATGGAAAATTAGTTTCTATCTACTTGACCCCAATAGCATACTAAGTACATTACATGTATTTGATAAAGTCTTTCAGTCTTACGGTACTACGTTAGTAATATCATGTATTATAAATGTGGCCTACGTAATACAGTTTAATTGCATATAATTTACCTTAAAAATAGCCACGTTGGCCCATTTTGTCAGCTCATATTTGTCAGTTTATGTTTTAAAAAAATAGAATAGAAAAAATGAATAGCATGAAATGGCATGCAATAGCGTGACACAATGTATAAAAGGCTTAATGTTAAAACAAGTGTGTAATTACCTAAGAATTGTTTACTTGTTGCAACCATATGAGTTGGGCTTCAGTCTAGTTGACATATACATATATCATTGCCAAAATAATGACATTATTTGCATAGGAGAATCTATAATGTGAATGAAAAATAATTGTATTCTACGCCAATCTGAAGGGTAAATGATACTGTCTTTCAACCTTTGATTACATTACAAGAGAAATTGAAAATATTTTAGATGTAAATATTCCATTTCTAGCTTTTCCTGCTTTCACGAAATAGTCAGTATAAATATTATTGATGTAATTTCAATGATTTCTTGCATGCTTAAACTCATTTTTTGATCTCGTCGATTCTTTTTTTGTGTATATAACATGCTGATAGATGAAAGTATTTTGAAATAATTATGAAATGTACATTCGCAGGTAGATAACTATTACAATGTGATCTTTTTTTAAACAGAGGTATGCTTAATAAAACCGTTTTTATATCATACATGTTTATAGCAGTCGATATGATTACTTTGTTGGACAAATTATTTACTCTTTCTTTTCATAATCGTCATCATTATCTCCTTCTGATACTCGTAACGCCATTGGTGCTCTGCTCCTGCAGTAGTAGCAGCAACAGTGGGGGGGGGGGGGGGGGGGGTTACTAAGAGCAAGTTGAAAATAATATTGTACAGCTTTGTTCGTCAATATTCCCTTATCAATTGTAAAGCCATACTGTATTAGAAGTTCTACCGCACAATCTTCTCTGGCACCATCTCGGGTCGGCTGTAGCAGTATGGTTCTCGCCATAGGCGCCGGAAGTGGGGGGGCAGGGGGGGCAGTTGCCCCCCCCCCCCCCCCCCCAGTCAAAAAAGTGGGGGGGGGCAAAACGCATTTTTGCCCCCCCAAAACGCCCCCCCCCCCCTCCAAAAAAAAAAAAAAAAAGCAGTAAAGGAATAAACATGGTTTGTATTTTTAACCCAAAAGAACATAACAATAATAAAAACCTGAATTAAAGCACATATACCATTCCATTCAAAGAAAAGGAAAGTTCACAGGAATTAAATTTTTATAAACATTGCGCATGCTACCTATACGGTTTATAATAGCGATACGCGCATATCGTGGACATATTGTGCGAGAATGGGAAAACGTGTCTGTTTTTTTGGTTTTGTTATAGGGGTGAGAAGACATGAGCCCCTGAACGCTGGCGTACTGATGGGGGGGGGGGGGTATATCTATACGATACCAGTGATTTACACATGTTGCTATTATGACATGATTTTCCGGTATTTTTTCTCCATTTTTTTTAAAGTCATACCTTTTTATGCGTTTGTTGGAAAATAAGAAATTCCCAAATTACAGTCGGGCGAAAAATACGCTTATTTAGAAGCCTTTATGACATGGTCTGCAAAGTGGCTGGGCTCGAGCCCCTCCCCCCTCACTTTTTGAAAAAGTATGTTAAAGAGAAAAAGAAAGAAAGACGGAGAGAAAAAATAAGTGACCTGCCAATGTCACAAATAAGGCATAAAAAATGCTCATCTGACCGTAATTAAATGCCTAAAACCCCAGAGCTTACGGGTGCTCCGCCCCCGGACCCCACCAAGGGCCCTAAGGCGGGCCCCTGGATGCTCATCTGACCGTAATTAAATACCTAAAACCCCTGAGCTTCCGGGGGCTCTGCCCCCTGGACCCCACCAAGGGCCCTATAAGGCGGGCCCCTGGATGCTCATCTGACCATTATTAAATACCTAAAACCCCTGAGCTTCCGGGGCTCTGCCCCCTGGACCCCACCAAGGGCCCTATAAGGCGGCCCCTGGATGCTCATCTGACCATTATTCAATACCTAAAACCCCTGAGCTTCCGGGGGCCCTGCCCCCTGGACCCCACCAAGTGCCCTAGGGCGGCCCCTGGTTGCTCATCTGACCGTAGTCAAATATTAAAACCTCTGAGCTTCTGGGGGCTCCCCCCCCCCCCCCCCCCCCTCTGGAACATGTCAATGGCCTTAAAGAGGCCCCTGGATGCTCATCTAACCGTAATTAAATACCTAAAATCCCTGAGCTTCCGGGGCTCAGCCCCTTGACACCCTGCCGAGGCTGGACCCCACGCCAATTTACGCTCTACCTGATCGTTAATACTTCACTTTGAAAAACGTTCCGCGGGACCTGCATGTAACGTGTAAGACTGGTGGTGATGCAGATTTTTCGTCTGCCCCCCTCCCCCTTCCGAACGTTTTTTCTCATTACGTCACTGCCCTCGGAAGGTGAGCCCCCTGGAATGTTTGCCCCCCCCCCCCAATCCCAAACTGCTTCCGGCGCGCCTGGTTCTCGCATAGAGTCCTCTGGGGCCCCGTTATTCGAAACCGTCATAAGTCTAACTTCTTAATTCTATAACACACGTTTCAATGGGATAGTCAGAAGTTTAATAGACTCGTGACGGTTTCGAGGAAGGGGCCCCTGTCTGCTAAGTGGAAATTAGGTATTTATTGGGTTACGTATACTGTTGACAACTTGACCATAATATGCTGCTGTGCAAAAAACAGTATGCTAGGGCAGAAAGTTCATCAGTTCGATATTGCTTTTAAGTTTCTACATCAAGGGTTCGGTGTTACAAAGACGTAACTCCATATTTTTTCCAAAATGAGTATTTGATATCAAAATGTGGGCTTTCCAGAAAACACAAAGACTTAACTCCACCCAACACCTCATTGAAGTTAATGGCTAGTGAAACACAGACTTGACTCCTTAAGGCCCTAGTGCTCAGTGACACATAAACCACTTTTTCTCAAAATAGCCAAAATGGAGTTAAATCTTTGTGTCACTGACCCCTCGACATGTAAATAGACCATATGTAGATTTGAGGGTGTGGGTGGGAATAAACACCGATATATTCTGCTTAGTTATTCATATCCTCTTATTACTTCACACTCAATAAAGAAATTAGACCAACAACGTTTTTCTTTTCTACAAAAATTGCAAGAAGGTTATATTTGTATTCATCAACAAACTTCATGCAATAACTGACTGTACATATCTACAACGGTTATATACAATCTACATTGAATAAATGATTCAAACATTATTGGCAGTATAATAATAATAATAGAAATTTTAATTCCGAGGCGCATTAATTATTGCTCTCAGCTTTAGCTGAAGTGCCATTACAGGGCTCTAGCTTTTCAATTAATTAATTCCTGCCAGGTACCCATGTACCTCACCTGGGTCATACAGATGTACAGCCAGATCTGTCTTAGTAGCCACTTCTTTATAAAGACCACCTACTGTATCTCTAGTGACTATGTCTATATTTTGTCTTTCTTGGGGAAAAAAATATATGTTGTAGAACCTGTATAGAAAGGCCACCTGTCTTGTCTGCAATGGCCACTTTGTTTCCCTTGGGTGACCCCAACAGTTAAGATTGTCAAGACTTTTTAGGGTAATTAAATGTTATTGTAATTGGTGTACATAATTAGGTAGGGCCTTGGTAGTGTTAAATCCAACTACATCTTCCACACAACTAACTACTGGACTGGACAAAATCTACCAACAGAGGGCTCACTATGCCCTAGGGAGTGTTTCACAAAGACTAAGATGGACTATAAGTTAGACTTAACTTTGGCGGGCTGTTCATGCCACTGGTTACTCTCACCATCATGATCTTTAGATATTTTTTCCTTCGATAATGAATTATCAACAAATGTTCATTCTGTAGATTTGTGACCAAAAAAAGTGGCATGAACGGCCTGTCCGACTAAGAGGCAATCTTAGTCTTTGTGAAACACTCCCCAGGAGAGATAAGAGCTGGTGAAATATCTTGACGATTTGAGAATTATCTAAAAATAACAAATCGGTGATCAAATAAAACTAAAAACTAAAAAGGTAATGAAGGCTTATAAACATAAATAAGTGAGCTGATTTGTACGTCCAAAAAAAAATGGCATGAACGGCCTGTCCGACTAAGAGGCAATCTTAGTCTTTGTGAAACACTCCCCAGGAGAGATAAGACACTGGTTATGAGAGTTTTGGCTATTTGGCAAATACTGCTTTGTTGGGCAAGCACAAAGCAAAATAATATACATTTATGTCATGTTGTAACCAAGTTGAACAAACTCGATATATCAGTGAAAAAAATACACAGGGGCTCAGGGCGAAATAGCCCCCAAAATGCCCAAAAGAGCACCGAACATCAGAAAGAGCCCCAAAAATGTGCATAGAGTTCAATGCAAAACAAATTTTAGAATGTTTTTTTCATGCAGGCAAGGTTGAAAAGTAGCCCCCCAAAAATAAATATTAATTTTTTTCCCTGCGATATATAGAGGGTTCTGCTTGTGAAAAAAAGAAGTCTTGAAAGTTGTTGAAATATCAACGCTTTGAGACTTATCTGAAAATGAACAATTCAGTGATCCAATATAACAAACACTAAAAAGGTGATGGGAGGCTTATAAGCATAAATAAGTATGCTTCAAAAGGGCACACAAATAAAAATACAATGGTAACTGGACGATGTTAATAACTCCAGAGAAAACTCTTACAAGTAAAGCTAGGAATTGATTGACTGACCTATTGCTAAGGATTCTTAAAATATGATTCATTTCATTCACATTTTCATTGGTATTTCACACACCTGACATTGTAACATCTGAAACTACAGAAATCCACAAACAGCATTCAATATCATATGGGTTTAAACATAATAATAATAAATGCTCAACAATAAAATCCTCAAATAACTGTTTGTATTTCAAACAGCTGACATTCGTAAAGATTACAATATTTAAATACATGATTCAATGACTACACAGGGTTTCCTATCGATGCAATGTGAAAATGTGTACATCACCGCAAAATGATAAAAATCAATCATTCTATATCAACATCATTCATGAAAATATTGCTAAAGCAGCATTTCCTTACCTGAACATTCCACAATGTTACTATCATGTTGAAAGAGTTGAAAAAAATTGCCAGCATTATTATTATGGATGCAAAGTCACTTCTCTTTATGGCAGATCCTGTTTATAATTTGCATCTTTTTGTTTGTCCAAGAACTTAAGATAAAACGGTTCTAATAGCTGAAGTAAGAACTACAGCATTGAAATAAAATCAAATTAAAATCTCAATGTTTTGTCTATCAAAAATGAAAGAAACAAAAATGTAACACAAACATTTTTTGATAAAAAATGTCACCTCGCTGCTTAGTGATCTTCCCCATCATTCGTCATGCAAACTTGACATTATTATTTGTAAGTTTGTTACTAACTAAATGAGCAAACATAAACAATATCATTATGACATCAATTTCTATTTTACATAGATCTAATCCATACCATTTGGAAGTGCATAGAGACATTATTTCATAATGTATTATGCGCTATACAAGAACTCAATATTACATTATTATTATTTACTCATTTCCTAAATCACAGCAACTTCATACAGAAGCAAAGAGCCTGATACACGGCACTTGGTGCTCCATAATTCACTTAATCCAGGTTAACATTTAGTCTTCCTTTATGAATACATGTACCGGAACAACAAGCCTTTGGCCCATATTCTACTAGTTTTTTAACCCAGCACTGGGCATAACCTTTTGTTAATGAGTTAGTCTGAGGTCTATGTTTTCCTTTTTTAAACGTGATCTCAGATGCAGGGTAAGCTTAAAAGGTCATGAATAGTTTTGGAAAGCCCGCCCCCCAAAAAGAAAAAAATCTTGATTTTAGATGATTGATAGGAAAATACTAGCAATACTAAGCTGCTCTGAAGATTTTTCTTCCTCAAGTGAAATTTTAAACAATACAGGTCAGTAAAATTTGAGCCGACTGAACTCAGTTCAGATTCAGAACAAGAAAGTTATGAATTTTGAAGGTAAAAAATACAAATTGGAAACTCTGTGACGTATCTTGCGAGGTCCCCTTCAATTTGCTTTGTACTAAAATACTTCAAACTTTCCCTCTAAGATGTTTCTTTCCAATTTCCTTTTTGCTACCAAAACCGTACGTGAGCTTCAACTTGATCAGTGGAATACCGACTTTTAAAGGCATCGTTTAACAATGTTAAATCTGAGATGAATGGCCCTACGTGTTATCAGTGTCTGTGATATGGTGAAATATTGAAGCCATATACAAAAATTGCGCTTCAAAATGATCATGAAGTGCCTCAAAAAAATTGAAAAATCTTTGAGTGACAGGTTTTACCATACTCATTTCCCCCCCAAAACTGTAATGTTATATAAACCGTTAGGAAAACGAAAAATGAAATTTCCATTTCCAATCTTAAATATCTTGATAATCAGACAGGCGATCGAAAGTCATGGGATTCCTGACCGACCTTACTTTTGATAATTACGAATGCAGCATGAGCTAAATCAAGAATTTTCTTTCAAAATCTGAGGCAATTGTTACCGAGTCACTTTAAGTTGAAACTGATAACACACAAAACCATTATTGAAGAACGGCTTAGGGGCAGGATAGGGCTGGAAGATCCATGTACGCATAACTGGAGCTGATGACTTGTGTCTCGGCCTGGGGGTGTTCGGGGTGCTGGTAGACAGTTAAGATGGGTTGATGGATGGGTGGCGGGGGTGGCAGCTGTGTCAGTGGCGGCTGTTGCGAGAGATGTGGTGGTGGTTGTCCGGGTTGCTGCGGTGGTTGACCTTGTTGCCTGGGTCCAGGTTGCTGCTGCTGCTGCTGTTGCTGCGGTTGGTGTTGCTGGTGAGGATGAGGATGGCGGGGTTGTGGTGGAGGGGGAGGTAGTCGTAGAGGTGGCTGATGTTGTTGCTGCTGTTGGTGTTGTGGTTGTTGTGGCTGTCTGGGTGGTAAGAGTTGTTGACTAGCTTGTTGATGCTGGTTTGGTGGCGAGTCTTGTGACTGAGGCTGAGTCTGGCAAAGGGAGAGGGAGAAGGAGATACAGAAAATGGTTGAAAATGTCAGAAATCAGCTAAAATAATTTTATCAAGCCGGTGCCAATATTATATTTTCACTGAATAAGTTTACCGGATAAAGCTTGTTCAGATACAACATAGGAAAACCACATCGTTTTGAATGGTGATTTAAATTGTAATAAGCTTTGCATTCCTGTATCTTATACCACAGAGCTCAGGTGAATGCACGCAAGCTCTTTATTAAACACAGTGTGTCATTCATTAACACACACAAAATAATTTTCCAGATGCTTGCCCGACATTCCAAAAAGTACTTTAGGCAGAAGGATTCCATGTATTGTAGTTCATTCATTAATAACAGGTCAATGAAATAACTTGTCACTACGTCTCCTGGAAAGAAACATCCGTAAATATCTTCGTGAACAGGGGGGTGTTTCACAAAGACTCAGATCGACTTGAAGTTGGACTTAACTACGGCAGGCCATTCATGCCACTGTTTGCTCTCACCATTTACTGGCATTGGTCTCTCAAGGGACTTAAAAATCATGGTCACAAATCTACATTTTTTGATAATTCATTATTGAAGGAAAAACTATCATTTAAAGATCATAATGGTTGGAGCAAACAGTGGCATAAAAGGCCTCCAAAAGTTAAGTCCAACTTAGAGGGATCCGGTAACTTTGTCTTAGATCCTTTAAAAAAATCTGTGATTTAGCTCATGCTGCAATGATAATTATAAACCTTTAGGTCAGTCAGGAACCCCATGACTTTTACAAGCCGATCGCCTGTCTGATTATCAAGATATTAATGATTGAAAATCAAAATCAAATTTTGCGTTTGCCAAACGGTTTTCATAACACTACAGTCTATTGGGAAAAACGAATGTGGTAAAACCGGTCACTCAAAGTTTTTACTTTTTTGAGGCACTTCTTGATCATTTTGAAGCGCATTTTTTTAGGGCTTCAATATAACACCATATCACAGACACTGATAACACGTAGGGCCGTGCATCTCAGATTTAACATTGTTAAACGGTCCCTTTAAAGCCGATCTTAGTCTTTGTGAAACACCCCCTGGTCGACTGTTACACAGAGAACATGAATTATTAAATGGCTTACTGGACATGTTGTATTGCTGGCTTCATCTCCTCGTCTTATCCGCCTGTGGTGGCGCAATCTTGCGTTGCTCAGGATGCGCCTGGCATCTTTGAGGAGCACCCTCTTCCTCTCGCCGGATTCTTGGACGTGATCTTCGTACGTCTCGCTGTTCTGATCAGTGTTGTTAGGATCATAGGGAGCTCTGTAGGAAGGTAGGAATATCATGTTACAAGTTTGGAATGAGATTTAGGTACTACAACTACCAATGTTTCAACCTAATACTGTGATGCTGGTAATAGACCAGTTCATGGTTAGCACATGTTCCAAATGACCCCGAATATCTACAGATCTTCAAAACATAAAGAGGTCCCACTTTGTACATTTTGAAATAATCACTCCTACAGCGATGAAGGTGCTACATAAATAGCCTGTTTCCCCTTTTCAAAGAATACTTTCACCTGTGTATCATGGAGTGCACTGCTTGTGCATAAATGAAATGATGATTACATAACTTTCATGAGCACGTATCCAGTATTTTGTCTCTATACCGGTACAAAGTCCAGTCTATACGATGGTCCTAATAAAACACAGCTAATACATATACATACAATTGAAAACTACCAGTAATCCTTTACCTATTGAACATGAGTTGGAAGGGTGAGTAGCCCATGATGGGGTGTTTGGTGGTCCTGTACTGGTACATGGCCCAGTCTATGTTGGTCCCAATCTTTGAACCCAATCCTCATGTACAGAATGTTACCCTTGCAAAATACCAATGATCCTTTACCTATTGAACATGAGTTGGAAGGGTGAGTAGCCCATGATGGGGTGTTTGGTGGTCCTGTACTGGTACATGGCCCAGTCTATATGCTGGTCCCAGTCCTCCACGTGGCCCCGGGTCAGGGTGAAGAGTGCCTCCATAACCGAGTTGCAGTAGGGTTCGTCCAGCGAGACGTCGTCGGGTTTCTCCGCGGCATGGAATGTCTGGTTGGCCCGGCTGATGGAGGAGAACTCGTCCTGGATTTCCTGGACAAAGTCGGAGGGTTCGTCGTAGAACGTGATGCGCACCCATCCCAATCTACATTCGTTTTTGAGAGATTTAAGAAATAAGATATTGAAATGAACAAGTCTATCAGATATCTGTTAGATCAGCCAAATATCAACTATTAATTTTTTTTCTTAATTGTGCAATGTTTTTGAAGGTGTTGTGGTATAGCAATTCATTCACTGAACTCTAAATCCAAGGGATGAGGGTTCGAATCCAACCCCGGCATTACCTGCCAATGGTAAGATATTATTCAAACTTCGCCACTCTCATCGGTAGGTACCTGGCATTTGCTGAGGTAATGATAACTGGCTTAACTGCAGGAGCCTCATGAAGAACAGCACTGAAGCTGATGAGGCTTCCGAGGTTTAACAAAAGTACCATTATTACTACTATTTTGCTTTTAAAGGGATCGTTTAACAATGTTAAATCTGAGATGCATGGCCCTACATGTACGTGTTATCAGTGTCTGTGATATGGTGTAATATTGAAGCCCTAAAAAATGTGCTTCAAAAAAGTAAAGAAAAGTGACAATATTTGAGTGGTCGGTTTTACCATACTTGTTTCCCCCAATAGACTGTAGTGTTATGAAAACCGTTAGGAAAACGCAAAATTTGATTTCGATTTCCAATCATAAATATCTTGATAATCAGACAGGTGATCGGCTTGTAAAAGTCATGGGGTTCCTGACTGACCTAAAGGTTTATAATCATTGCAGAATGAGCTAAATCTAGGATTTTGTTTCAGAATCTGAGACAAAGTTATCCAATCCCTTTTAAAGATGGTAACTTTGCACCTGAAAATTGGCTCCAAGATTTATACATACCTGGTCATCACCGAGTAGAGGAAGCGAGCTATGAGGAGAGAAGATGTGTAAGGTATGGCTTCTGCTTCCGACCACTTGGTGAAGTAATCCCAAACCACAACCAGGAATTTGTTGTCTCTCAACGTCCGCTCGAAAGGCCCCAGGATAGCAACTCCCGCCTGTGAAAATAATGAGAGAGAGAGCAAATTTGAGATAACTCATACTCTTTTCACACTTGTTTTGCTCAACCCTGTACTTTAACTTGTTTGGCTTTTCACACAAGCTTTTTTAGGCCTATACTAAGCGCCTATCCCGGAATAAGAAAATTCATGCTGTTCTCACTGCAATTCGTTAGCCCCGTACTAGCTGTATACCGGTAGCGTGAATATTCATTAATTCGCTCCATTGCGTATTACCGGTCTGTTTTTTGTTTCTGTTCTCATTCATTTGCGTGGCACCGCAATTGCTGGGTTAGCCCTGCTTTTTTGCAAGGGCAGCTACTATAGATGGGGCTAGCCCACTTTGGTAAATACGTGTCTGAACAGAAAATGGAATAAGCTTAACCCCGGACTATAGGTAGGGCTAAGACCCCCCTTCAACCCCACCTATAGTCTGGGGTTAAGCAAAATTCTGCAAGTGTGAAAACAGTATGTAATATCCATTAATTCAGGCATTCATTTAAAAAATGGAAGAGGGAGAGCATATAACACAAACATCCATTTATTCATTCATTTCCTTTGCTCCACCACTTTTGGGTTGGACGTTGAAAATCGATGGTGACACTATTCCGAGCAATTAAATCCCTGGCATGCACTTGCAGTCTAAGATGTTCTGCCAGAGTATCATGCAAAGTTTTCAGAGTCTTTCACTTTCCTTAAAGGCAGGGTATTCTAGTGCCATCTACTGCTCACAATGTCCCAATGTGTCGACAGCCATGTCCCACAGTGCATCACCAACTGATAAGTGTGTGATGATGCTCGGGTACATTAACCAGAAATCGCTAGGAAATCTATAAGGCCAACCTCTTGACACAAAAAAAATGAATATCCTAAAAAATCTTATTTTCACAACAACTTGACACTACCACTGGCCCGTTAGCCCCGGGCCAATGTTCTACTGGTAAGAATGGGCAAGTAAAATGTTTGCTTTTTCATTAAAATTTAATGAGAAAATTGTAAAGCATCAGCAATTATTTTTATAATGCAAAAAGGCTGTTTTAATGCATAATGAGAATAATTATACAACTATAATTGCTTGCATATTTAGGGCCAATTAGAATTTGGTTCAAGTCAGAAGTAGAAGTGAGAAAAAAATTACTGTTAAGCCTTGCATTATACTCATGGAAACATGAGCCATACTCTTGTTAACTGACATTATAAACCAATTAGAAGAAAAACAAGTGTCAGATATTTAAAAAAAATCAAAGTACTAAATACGATAAAATCATACTGATTGGCATCTCTGTGTATGCTTTCACTGAAAATACATTACAGTAGGGGTAGCAATGTCAGTAACATACCCTGCCTAAAGCCAAGGTGTAATAGCTAACAGAAATGTTGACCTACCTGTTTCCACACTCCTGACCCGTACTGGACCCTGCCGGACTTTGCTGGACTCCATCCAACCGAGGTACCCTCCTTGCTCCTCGGCGCCGTGCTGGACTGACATACGGTACAGTTCCGCACAAAGTTGATGCAGTCCTGCCCGACCGTCTGCCAGTAGTACCGATCCGTCACTCTCTTGTGAGTGATGTCCCTGCCGAGATGGTGCCCTGGGATGGATGAAAAAAGTTGATAAGTGGTTACGAAGAAACTCTGACAGGGCGTTGTGGCGTGCACCTGTAATCCAACTAACAATGTAAGTTACTAACTGATTCAGCCGAGGATGCAGGTTCAAAACTGATTCACGTCTTTCGGGTGGTGACGTTAAAGGTCGGTCCCCAGACGTAAATAATTATCTGATTGCTACACATCTGTAAAAACATAATTACACACACACACACTCTGAATTCTGGTCCAGATTATTTCTATAGACTGTTCACTTTTTTCACACATTTTCACCAGGATCAGATTTACAAGATATGTTTACTAATTTCTATTTCAATTTATTTATGTATCTCTCCCCAACCCTTAGTTACCAACTGTTTGATTCACCTTCTGTACATAATGACATGTTGCTACATGTATGTCTCGCAAATGGCGCAAGCCTCTAGAAGCTTTTGAGTTTTTAAGAGCCTTTTTAGTTTTTAAGAGACGCTTTTATTTAAAAAGCATGCATAAGAGTAGAAGGGTATATTGTAAGTAATTTGGGCTTAATATTACTATCAAGACTACTCAAAAAAAGGTTAAGACCCTCATAGTTATATATTTCATTGAAATATAAACTCCTTAGTACACTGCTGGCAAAATATGTAATGTTTCGTTGAGGAAAAAAATAATAGAACATAGACTACATCATACATTTTAATTTCCCAGGTTCTCTGCCAGAAGAAGAGAAAATATGTCCCTATTGCGTTGCCAATTTCATACTTACTTTACAATAATAGTGATTAGTTTAGTATACAAAGGCGCATACACAGAGTTCCCTGAATTTTGCTACCTGAGAGTGAGAGCGCCATTTCACACTTGTATTGCCATCATCGTAAAGTATGCTAACACAGTAACATGCGATGTAAATCACAAGTTACCTCATTATCATCAGGAAAATAATTGAAGGAAAGGAAATCATTTTAATCACTCTGGTATCAAAATCTCATATTTTGTATTAAAATCTTGACGGATTTCGAAGTGCTTTTAATCGGAAGAAAGAGGAGTCCACAAGCGAACTCTGATTCTCAAGCCAGTGAGTGTGCAACGTTCGTGATGACGGTTAGTCGCGTGGAGGAAGGGGGTGATTACAAACACTGTTTAAGTTTTGTTTACCTCCTTCTTTACGAAGGAGTATGGATGCCAATTAAGGCTAGGTGATATTAATACCATACAGTGAAAAAAATACACGGGGGCTCGGGGCGAATTAGCCCCCGAAATGCCTAAACGAGCCCCCGAAAATCAGAAAAGAGCCCCTGTAAATTTGCATACAGTTCAATGCAAAACAAATTTTAGAATGGTATTTTCATGCAGGCAAGCTTGAAAAGTAGCCCCTGAAAAATAAATATTAATTTTTTCCCTGATACCATATATTAATCATCATATTATCACTTAGCCATTAGGCTACGACACCCCACATCAGAACATCCGCCTTTCATAACGCCTCGTCGATCGTCCTCATCAAACTCAAAATCAAAGTTCAAACTCTATCTTTCAAGAATCAACATCATGTCTGTGGTCTGAAAAGGCTAGAACTAGTTTTAATGATCCCATTTACCATCATCCTCGCTGATATGATTTGTCATCATAAGATTCTTCTGTTCGTCAGGGTCACCAACGACTTCAAGCCATTTCGGTTTCGGCAGCCCATGCTCGAGTTTCCCATACTGCAAGCGGTCTTCTGCCTCGGGGTCCAGCCGAAACGTCTTCGTGCGGCGGCGAAGACTCCTCCGAAAGCTCTGTGAGCATCCCTTCGGGTACTCCCTATCCTTCAGATAACTCTTGATTAAAACAATCTGTTCTTTGAAAGAGAGCTCACTTAGTCCTTTCAATCGATATTCCACGATTAATTTCGTTCGCTTTCGCTTGCGTTTCTCTTCCCGGCTAGGGGCTGACGTTCCATCGGGAATATCATCATCTATATCCTTGGCTTTGCTGGACGCACTCCGCTTGGGCGCCATATTTGCTGGCAAATGATATGCTGAAGGCTATGGTAAACCGCTCGCACAATGGACCAACTATGCTTGTTTTAATATTTTTAAGATAAATTTTGACTTTTACATTAAGATAATGATACTCTTGCATCTCAAATATTTTATTTTATTTTATTTTTGCTTTTAAATACTGTTTTATGAGTTGAATTGATTATTGAATACATGGTATTTACCACTTTAAATGGCGTACCATAGTATCGTGTTCATTGAATCTATGTCCGTCTTCATCCTTTGTCACGTACACACTTGTACCAGGGATCGGAGCCGAGAGTGCACCTCGACCTCCCTGCTTGCATCGCTCTCATGCCTTGCATTGCATCCCGCAGCCAACCATACGTGCATGTATAGCTTGTGGATTGGGTTTTCATTTATAAAAATGGAACCATGCAGCACAGTAGCAGAAGGCATACAAGAATAATATAGCATTGCAAAACTTATTGTAATTTTGCCTTCTGAAGTACTGGGACCTTTGACAATGACAGAAACAGCAACCCCCCCCCCCCCGCGCCAAATAAGTAGGCCTAGCCTTTAAGAAAGAAAGAAAAATATATCTGTAGGCCTATATGTGATCAACTTGAGGAGCCTACAAATCAGTCATATCAATCATTAACATCACCATCCTTATATCCATCATCATCCGATCGAATCATCATCGCCATCAGCGCGTTATAATCCGCAATAAATAGCTCGATCCTGCTCCTTCTCGTTTTACTCCTCCTTCTCGGCTCTCCCTCCTCCTTCTCTAGGCTACGTACCGCCTCGTCCTCTTCCCCCTCTTGTCTTTTATTTTGTTTCTATATCTTTCCCCTTTTTTCTACATCTTTTCTTCTTCTTCCCAAGTTCATCTTCTTTATCTTCTCTTCTTCTTCTTATCCTTTTTTCTTCTTATTATTATTCTCCTTCATCTAATTCTTATTCTTCCTCCTCCTCTTTCTTTCTTTCTCGTTCCCAAGTTCAGTTCAGTTTTTGTTCATATTCCTGAAATTTTGCATTGTTTCTCATGATAGCCATCACATACATTCTGTCATACTTTATAGCCCCTAGGCCCTAGCCTATAAAATATGGCAAGATGTCACTTAATCTGTATCCAAAATGTGAAAGATAATGTCAAAATGAAGACACACTTCTGCAAAGATTCCCCCCCCCCCCCCCCGAAAAAAAAAGAAAAAAAGAAGAAGAATGTGTGTGTAGACAAATATTAATAAAATAATACATAAATGTGGTTGTCTGTTGTACGCAGAAAACCTATACGAAAATTTCTTTTATCAATATTCGAATTGAAACACATTTTTTGTTTTAAATCCTTGCAAAGGTGTGTCTTAAATGGCATCCTCTTTCCCATAATGATAGGCTACAATTTAAAGGTACTATGTCCCATTTGCAGGCCAAAAAAAATGAAAAAGTTAAATTCCAACTGCATTTGAATGATAATACTAATTTAGAACTTCCCTAAAAAAGGTGGGGCTTGAAAATGTCTTCAAGTGGGAAAATAATGACAATTAGTTGTCAAATCGACTTTAGGGCTATAGAGCCCAAAAGTAATAGTCTTGATTTTCAGACAATTGTATCGAATGGTCATACGTTTTATGCTGCGCAAAGATTCAATCAGTTTAATCTTGGCCATCACAAGAAGTGGGTTATTGATGTAGAAAAATGCTCATGTACCCTTTACAACTCTTTTCATGTATGTTATTACCAAAGAAGAAAAAAGGCCAGTCAGTCACTCAATAGTATCTGACAGTGAAGTCTAGCAAGTAAACGGGTTTCTTTGCATAATTTGAATATTAGGACACTGCTAACGTTTAAATTTCACAGATAGGACATACATGACATATTCATAATTCCTGCAAAGTTCTACAGAATTTGAGGTTGGCTGCAAAAGGGACATAGTACCTTTAAGTGAAATTTTGCCATCACATTTTTGAGGCTCTCAACACTTTTAAATAGAGGGTTCAAACTTCTGTTTATATTATAACACAAATTACGCGGTGTATAGACTATAGAGTCAATATACGACACAATCACAAAGAAAACGTGAAGAAAAAGGACTTGCTGCAAGGCCAGCGTCATCGTCCTCAACATCACAACACCATTAATCTATAACAGCGCCACCTAGTGTTCAAGCTTTTATCGCCACTCTGTTACTAATATTTTCAACTTTTCCTGTTTCCCCCTAACAGGCAACTTGTTCATGTTTCAAAATTGTCTACCCATTCGCAATGAACTACGATCATGAAAATATTAAGACTTTAAATAGACTTAGCTATTTCTGAAAGAGCGGTCACTTCATATTGTAAATTATATGATGCCCCCCCCCCCCCCCCCCCCTCACCCCCATAATGAGCGCAATGTAGGAAGGGAGCAATGCCGGAGCAATGAGAATATCAAACAATTATACACCGGTTCACTAACATAATTATTCAAATTGTATGCATACTTTTAAAAAATGTTGCTCTTGCATGACAACTGTTAAGCTTGCCAGAACCTTGCCTGACATAGAAACAAGTAATATGTGCAGACTGGATTCCAAGTATAGGAGATTAAAGGTTAATGGAGCGCAATGAGCGCCATGCCACCACTATCATTGTTATTTTTATTATCAAAAACTCGTAACTAGGTCCCCAGGAAAGAAACATTCATACATTTGAATAAATCGTCGCTGTTTTCACGAAGTGACGGTAGTGAAAAAAAAATGCATTCACTTTGCGTGACGATTTTCCTCACTACCGTCACTTCGTGAAAACAAGGACGAAATTATGATTGTTAGTTAACCGGTCTCTTATAGGCTTCTATAGTTTAGAATCCGTCTTTGGAAATTGACTTTATCCGAACCGAGGTCTTTTGTTGGCACAATGTGGAATTTAAACCTGGTGGACGTGTTTCTTTATGGCAAGGATAATTATTTAGGTGTTTATTAAATAGTTTAATGAATACTGTGCCAGTTTCTTTTTTCTCGACTCTGAGGTGAATAAAATCTGTCTACTCCTCGACAAAGTCCGAGCAGAGGGCAGCAAACTGACTTCTTTTTTTATAAGCAGAGTCGTCTATAGGCCTATATTTTTATCTCACAGAGTGGCCAACATTGTACTCGTAGGACACAATAATATGGCGAATGTTGCTCTGTTGGAAAACTACAAAACAAAAGAATGTACACCGAAAATAAAAAAAAACAAGTTGGCATAACTCTGCGTATAGTCGGCTCTGGTACGTTGTAAGCAGAGAGTCAGATACAGAGGGAGATGGAGAAGATGACCCGGATGATCAAGAATTTTCTCCTTTAAAAAAGAATTGGATGTCCATTCTCTCTTTATTTGATAATTTTATAACTGTCACCTGAACTTTATTACTTACGTATACACATAACCATTTCAAACAATATAACTTCAATCGGATTTGTCTTTGCTTGTATGTACCGAAACCACGGGGATATGTGTGGGGAGGGGGCCGGGCCACGGTCACTCGGCGGGACTTAAAAAGGGGGGATAAAAAATAAACCCAAAGGAGAAGAAGCACAACAAATTATAAGAACGTAAATGAATATTGGAGAGAAAAAAACGGAAAACAAATAAAAGAGAAATTTAGAAAAGGCACCCCCAAAATGATTGTCTAACTAAATATGATTCAAAATGAATTTGCCTGCACTGTGAAAAGGTTGGGCAATATTTTTTCAACACTTTGCCCAACGTTGTGCCAATAGTCAACCCAACCATCTATTGGGCAATATTTTGACCAGTGGTATTGGTAAACGTAAGTACCCTACTTCACACGTGCATAATTGTTTCGTATTTTGACCAAAATTTGGGCAAAGATATATGACCCTTCAACTGCCCGACTACGGTAGCCAACTTGTTGGGAAAATCTTGACCAACTGTTGGGCAAAATACGAAAATATTGCCCAATAGATGGTTGGGTTGACTATTGACAAAGTGTTGGAAAATATTGCCCAACCTTTTCACAGTGTGTCTGATCGAAAACGCTTTAAGATGCAAAGTTCAAGAGCTGCAAAATGAATACTAACAATCACTTGATAATTATCATTGATAGTATTTACAGAGTGACGTCGCTAGTTTTTTTCCAGTAGAAATGCAAAAACTTAAGATCGGGGAGGGGGCGGATTTATACCTTCGCTGACTCTAGCTGCCCAGCTCTGTCGCTGTGATATACACGGCAGTTTCTTGCCATCATGCCCGGGAGACGCTAAATCCGAGGCAGCTCACACTATGAACATTTCGTACCTGAAATACCCTTTCAAAACTCGTCGAAAAAGGCTGACCTACTCAGCGATTATCATTTTTCTTGAATCACTCGTTTTTATTTTCATTCAAATGCCGAAAAACGTATGTTGCGATGAAGGTATATAAGACCCAAATAATTATGTTGTATTCATGGCATTTATTACATATTATCTTCACTAATTGCTAATTTTTAAGACGCTGATTCAACTGGAAAAATGTAAAATGTCCTTTTCGATGTTAAAACTACTGTTGTTATGCATGCAATAAACGTTATAACGTCAAACGATGCTAAGTGAGCGCTTGCAAAACGACGATCGTCAAGTATGCTATGATTTATTTATCAAATAATTCGGACGCATAACAAGAAAGAATATCAATAATTAATAGGTCGAATAAAGATATTCACTTATAACAACAAATATTGTTATAATGTTTGTTAACATCTTCATCATCGTCATCGTCATAGTCATAATCATCATCATCACCACCATCACCACCACCATCATCACCATCATTATTATTATAATCACCTTTATCATTACTACCATGATACTGATAATCATCAACATTATCATCATCATCTTGACAATCATTATCACCATCATTACCATCAACAGCACCATCGCCGCCACCACCACCATCATCATCAACACCACTACCATCATCAGCAAGAAAATCATCCCTGTCCTCATCACAGTTTCGATATTATATTCATCGGCAATTCATGAGAGG